TAGGGGGCCAAAAATGTCCAGGTGTTTGTCCTGGCATGATTTTAATGCTGAGTCCAAACCCTTACGGGGATTCCAACCCATCTTAGAAAGAAACTGCGGCATCTTAGGGTGTACAATAGGAGTCTCACAGACTTTATTGGGGATCATGGGTCTAGGACATTCTGCCCTGAGCTTGTTGCGCGCCGTCTTGCTAAGGGGGCGCCGTACCCAGTTCTCTAGGTATTTTGCTACATGGGCGGCTGGGAGCCATTCTGCCGACCTCGGGTGATGGAGAGCATCCGGGTCAAACATAGGTTCCCCAGCCGGGTTCATGAGGGTTGAACCCTCGGTAGCGGGAGAGTCGCTGCGAGAGCCACTAATGGCCAACCCTGATAGGGTAGGGACGAAAGGGTCAGTGTCCTGCCCGTCAGTCTCGTTATTGGAGTCATCTCCAGACTCATCTATAGCCTCCTCACAAGACCCGATTTCTGAGTCAGAGTCGCTCTCTGCATGTGCTCTGGCACATTTCCAGTGCCGCGCCCGTTCTGCCTGGCGCGGAAAGGCTCTTTTGCGTGACATAGGCACGCTATCATGGGTGGATATTTTCACACCAGTCTTGTTGTTTCTGGAGGCAGGAGGGCTTAGGTGCCTAGATTTGGCCTTTGGCTTTCTAGGATTGTCCCCTGAGGGGTTTAAGGAGGAGCGCGGTAAGCGCGTAGGTGTGGCCGATGCTTCTGCGGGCACAGGTTGTGCCAATAAGGCCTGAGATATAGTCTGGGACAGGGCCGAGGACATGGAGCCCATGGCGGCCATAATGGCGTCTGTAACGGAACGTTGCAGTGCCAGAGCCTGGGCATTATCCGGCACTGACATAGGGTCACCCGCAGAAGAAGGGGGGCCAGAGCTGGCAGTGTTAGGGTTATCCAGCACATGGGGTATATCCATATCCCCAGGGGGAAGAGGGGAAGCAGCCCCTTTAGGTCTAGGCATAATAACAAGGAATAGTAATTTCAGGACACAAATAAAATATATATATTTAGTAGAGAATATAAAGTATTATATAGAGCTGCTAAATATTAGGAAGCACTGTTCTAGGAGAGGAGGATGCAACTAGCAGGAGTTAATCACCCCAGGCTAGTTATAGCTAAAAGGAAGAAAATGAGGGAACTCACCAGGGTCCAGACCGGCAGATAGGAAGAGGACATGAGGAATGGGGAGAAAAGTGAGTGATAGAAAATGGCCGCCGGCAATCTCGCGAGATTCGCGGCAGAATTCTAGCCGAATAGGGAGAAAGAGCCGACCGTTCGGCTGAAAATAGTGAATGCATATGGAGTCATAGGGGAAACACATAAAAGGTGAATGAGTAGAAAATTCGAACGCGGCAACAGGAGAATAGAAGGTGAATAAGGCAATAATGTGAATGGGTGAATTCGTGAATAGCCGAACAGTGTGAGGGAATAACAGGAGAAAGAACAGCCGAATGGGAGGAGGAGAATGGGCGAAAAGGGCGCCAAAGTGACAGGCAGACCGGCAGTGTAATGGAGGGAGAAAAGGAAGCCCTAGAGCTTAACAAGGTGGTACCAGTAAAGGTAGAGTAGAATTAAGCCGGACATAGGGGTCTGGAACCCTGGGGTCAAACAAAATATACACATAAAGTCAAAATATATACAAATTACCAGCAATAATAAACCAGTGAATGGTAAAAGTTATCAGCAGTGAAAAGGTCAACAGTGCAGAAAAACAGTTGACAAAAAAAACATAAGGCTATGATAGAGTGAATTAGTCATGTACTTATCTATTTGGTAGCAGCAAAGAAAGAGGAATTGGATGGGAAGGTGCTGCCTATTATACTGGGACTTGATATGGGAGTGTCCTATCTCTATGGTTACTGTTTTTTTCTTACTGTTTGTATCCTTTGCTGCTATTGGTGGACAGTAAAGAAAGGGATATGCAATATGAGCCTCCGTGTCTTGACATAAAATTGCATCCTAGATTCTGGAATCTCTGTTAAAAGTTTAACGGTTGGTTTCTGTTTGCATGTAGTTTTGAGTTTTGTAAGAATGGTTATGATCTGTTCCTTATGTTGAAAAGATTTCATCTTTTTAATAGCCAAAATTGTGGTCATGGGCTCTTCAATACGGGATCTTATATAGGTATCTGTGAGTAAAGCTTCATTAATCTTCCATGAATCTCTTCCATGTGCAGGAAACTCTATAGCAAGCATGTCAAACATGCGGCAATGAGTATCTTTGTGGCCGAGTGAAGGACCAGCCTTCTCTGGGGCCACATTGTGGTGCCGTAGCCGATCATGTACTTCTGCGGCTGACCTGTCATCTCCGCTATCCAGTCAATCTTTATCTCTCGTCCCCGTCCCGGGTTACTCCACAATACCGATACCCCAGGTGGTCGCCCCTCACACGCCCCCCGTGTGCTTCTCCCGGT